ATCATATCTAACACTCCCCCTCAAGCTGGAGCATACAAATCGTATGTGCCTAGCTTGGTACAAAGATAATCCATCCTAGGTCCCCGTAAAGACTTAGTGAAAATATCTGCTAATTGATCACATGAGTTAACGAACTCAGTCTTGATGTCTCCAGACATAATCTTTTCCCGAATAAAATGGCAGTCAATCTCAATGTGTTTAGTCCTCTCATGAAAGACAGGATTAGAGCTTATATGGAGAGCAGCCTGATTGTCACACACTAGTGTCATTTGAGTGACATCTCCAAATTGTAGCTCTTTAAGCAATTGCTTGAGCCAAATAAGTTCACAGGTAGCTGAGGCCATAGCTCTATACTCTGCTTCTGCACTGGATCTTGCCACAACACTTTGTTTCTTACTTTTCCATGAGATCAAGTTACCACCAATGGAAACACAATACCCAGATGTAGATCTTCTATCAAAGGGAGATCCTGCCCAATCAGCATCCGAATAGCAGACAACTCTTGTATGATTATGGGAGTCATACACCAAACCTTTTCCAGGAGACTTTTTGATGTACTTCAATATACGGATGACTGCATTCCAATGATCTTGACAAGGAGAATTGAGGAATTGACTCACCACACCGATCTGCAAAGGAAATGTCGAGGCGAGTAACTCGTAAGATAATTTAATTTTCCAACTAATCTTCTATACTGTTCAGGATCCGACATTGGCTCCCCCGATTTGGCAAGAGTTTGGTATTAGGATCCATTGGTGTGTCAACAGAGCTTTGAATTCATCAACCAGCTTCCTCCAAAATATCCAATGCATACTTTCTTTGAGATATAACAATGCCATCGGTAGATTGTGCTACCTCAATACCCAAGAAATATCTCGAGTTTGCCAAGATCTTTGGTTTGAAAATGGTGGCAAAGGTGTTGTTTCATCCGAGATATGCCATGATGGTCACTACCTGTAAGAACAATGTCATCGACATACACTATCAAATAGATACATCCAAGCATTCGAGTGACGGTAAAAGACTGAGTGGTCTCGCCTCACTTCTAGTCATGCCAAATTGTTGAACAACGTCGCTAAATTTGCCAAACCAGGCCCTAGGAGACTGTTTTAGGCCATATAAAGATTTGCGAAGACGACATACCAATCCAGAAGACTCCCCCGAGCAACAAATCCAGGAGGTTGCTCCATATAAATCTCTTCTTGCAAATCGCCATTCAAGAAAGCATTTTTGACATCCGAGTTGATAAAGAGGCCATTGTTGAGTAGCAGACCATGGCAATGAATAAACGAACGAAGCCATCTTTGCCACTCGGAGAGAAAGTATCACCATAATCCAACCCAAAAATTTGGGTATAGCCTTTGGCTACAAGGCGAGCTTTGAGGCGATCAATAGTACCATCAGGACCAACCTTGATAGCGAAGACCCACCTGCAACCAACAACAGATTTTCCAGATGGTAATGGGACAAGCGTCCAGGTTCCACTAGTCTCGAAGAGCACCGAGTTCATCTAGCATGGCCTGACGCCAACCAGGGTGGGCTAAGGCTTCAGAGACAGATTTAGGAATAGATACGTAAGAAATAGACGAGAGACAGGTATAAAATGGTGAAGAAATTCGATGATAACTTAAAGCAAGTATAATGTGGAGAAGGATTACGAGTAGAACGCGTACCTTTACGAAGGGCAATAGGAAGGTCGACTCGTGGACTGAACCGGAGGAGACAGAGTATTTGGCACTCGGGAGTGAGTCATGTGGCGTCTGTTGTGGGCGAGGTCTGCGACTATAAATCTGAAGGGGTGGTGGAGGAGGAGGGGCTAATGGTGGATGGTCCTCAACATAAGGATCAATGAGAACAGGAATGGGAACTGTAGCAGATGGAGACTCAGCAAGTAGGAAAGGGTCCTTAAAGTAAAAGGAAAACTCATTGAAGGTGACATCGGCAGACACAAAATAGCGATTAAGAGAAGGAGAAAAACACTTGTATCCTTTTTGGGATCAAGTAAATCCTAAGAAAACACATTTGTGTGATCGAGGAGATAACTTATCATGACCAGGATCAAAATTGTGGACAAAACAGGTAGTCCCAAAAACCTTCAGAGGTAAAGGATGGAGATTGTCATGAGGAAATAAAATAGAATGGGGAATTTTGTTATCTAAAACCGAAGAGGGCATACGATTAATAAGATAACAGGCAGTAAGAACAACATCACCCCAAAAATGTTGAGGAACCGCCCCATGAATTAAAAGAGTACAGGTTGTTTCAATAAGGTGTCTATTCTTGCGCTCAGCCACCCCATTTTGTTGAGGGGTATAAGCACAGGAAGTTTGATGAAGAATGCCATGAGAAGCCATAAATTGTTTAAACGAGTTTGAAAGATATTCACGGCCATTATCACTTCGAAAAGTTTGAATAGAGACACCAAATTGATTTTTAATTTCATGATAAAAGTTTTGGAATATAGAAAACAACTCAGAACGATTTTTCATTAAAAATAACCAAGTACAACGAGAGAAATAATCAATAAAAGTAACAAAATATTGAAAACCTAAATTAGACTTAACACGACTGGGTCCCCAAATGTCAGAGTGAACTAAGGCAAAGGGGGATGAAGCACACTGGGAAACACTACGAGAAAAGGAAGTACGACTATGTTTGCCTAACTGACAGGACTCACATACCAAACTGGACAACTGGGATAAGCTGGGAACAAGTTGCTGTAATTTGCGCAGACTGGGGTGACCAAGCTGAGCATGAAGGAGAGAAGGAGACTCCATAACTGTGCCAACATGTGGAGAAGGTTGAAGATAATAAAGTCCATGTGACTCACATCCGGTGCCAATCACTCTTTGCGAGCTCCGGTCCTGTAAGGAAACAGAAGTTTTGGTAAAAGAGATAACACAATCAAGAGATCGAGTTAGACGGCTAATGGATAATAAGTTAAAGGGGGACCCGGGTACATACAAAACATTATCAATGGACAACGAGGGAAAAAGAGTAACCGTTCCAACACCATGAGCTAAAGTTGTAGACCCATTAGCCATTGTAACAGAGGGTAAATTATGAGAAGAAGTGAAAGAGGAAAATAAGGATTTGTTACCAGTGATGTGATCGGTGGCGCCTGAGTCAAGAACCCAAGAGCCAATAGAAGAAGAGTGAGTCAGACCAGCAAAAGATGTACCTGTGTGGGCAACAGAAGTAGTGGAACTGGAGGGCTTTCGATCCTCATACCATTGAAGAAAATCATTGAAGATAGCAGATTTGTCTGAAGGTACAGATGAAGGAGGATCCACAGCAGAGGATTGTGCGGAAGAATCAGTCTGAGCAACTGCAGCAGATCGGCGAGGATAACCATGTAAAGCATAACATTTGTCAATTTTGTGGCCTAGTTTGCCACAATGGTCACACTTGACACGCCCTTTGCCTGGCTTGTGAGAGCGATTACGATCATCACGGTGAGAGGCCAAGGCAGATGAATCATTAGAAACTACAGGGGGAATATTGAGAGGTTTACATGGCACCCGCAAAAGGGAGGAACTGGTAGCGGTAAAACTGGGTGTAACAGGGGAACCCAAAATCTGATCACGAACAGGGGCATATTTATCAGCAAGTCCGTGTAACATCAAAACCATGAAAAACTTTGATCGTTGTTCTAATTCTTGGGCAGGAGTCGAGGCAGGGGGTAATAACTCATTAAATTCATGGAGAAGAGCATGGATCTTACCCACATAATCCGCCACAGGATCCTTATCTCGAGGAGCAATAACATCAAGAAGATTGTATCAAATACCATAAAGACGTTGAGTGTCATTGGTGTATAATAATTTGGCGTGTTCCCAAACGTCATAACATGTGCCATACGATCGAAAAATTTGTTTTAAAGAAGATTGGATGGTATTCTTGAGAACCATACATATATGAGCATCAACTTTCTTCCAACGGACACGATCATTGGAAGGAACATCATCTACCTTGGTAGTAAGATGATCAACATACCCCTGACTCTCAAGCCAAAGTCTAATATCAGATGCCCAAGTTGCATAATTCGTACCATCTAATTTATCAATGGGTAAATTCACATTGACATAATTAGTAAAAACAGATTGCTCAGACCCACCGGAGCTGACAGAGGTAACTTCAGAATTGGAAGTGACAGCGGAAGATGCCATGGAGAAAGAGAGAGAAAAACCCTAAAACACCAAAGAGGTCCGATTGGAGCAGCGAGGACAGATCCAGAGAGAGGAGAAGGAGGCGACGCCGGCGCAAAGAGCGGCGGCCTGAACGGCGGCGAGACGCGCCGCCACGCGCGGCGGAACGGGAGAAGGAGGTGCGGCTTCGGGAGGCGCGTGAGGGAGCGTGGCTGCTCCGATGACCGCGAAACTTCCACGGTGGAGGTCGCACGGAGGAGGCGAGCAAAACCCTGTGCTCGGCGGTCCGAACTGCTACTCCGGCGACGGCGGCGGCGGCGGCGGAGGCGGTGACAGCTGCAGGTTCAATGGCAGAGCCGAAAAAAAATCCCAAGAGACCTTAAGCTCTTGATACCATGTTGAATATAGGGAAAAAACTGTATAGGGTTAATTTCCCTTATGTGTTTACCACACATAGGGCAGTGTATTTATAATAAAGAAAGGTACTCCTCAAAAGAGTAACAGAATACAAATAGGGTAAATAAAAGATATTATTTGATATTGTGATTAACAATATCTAACAATATCTCAACAATATCAAACAATATCAACTAATATCTAATCATATCTAACATTCTTAAAGAACATGTAGATGTTATTCTTGAAGGTCTACTGCAAGAATACATTGTGAAGATCCCTGTTATTGAATGTAGATTCAAGCCTATTCCAATCCTTTGATTGATTTGACTGTCTTTTCTTGCAAACCCCAAATCCTTTTCTGCCCAAGGCACTGGCAAGACTATGCAGCAACCATTTGATCCTGATCAATCTCAATTCAATTCATGACATGGCTTTTGGACGCAGTGGTATGTCTCATGCAAGGACACACTGCAACCTCCTGCTACTTCCGGTTTGATCAACACCATCAGCCCCATCATTCTCTAACACTACAAGATTCATCTAGACAGAATTATTCTCAAAATAATCAGATTTTGGATAACAATTTCACTACTCGTTATGTAAATATTTGGACTTCGACTTCTAATCACTATGTGACCTCCTCCACCTCAACAAAATTCATATCATCCTCCTGCAAGCAACACTCCATGCAGCACCAAACCAGCTCTTTCATGCTGAATTTTAATTGAAAATATGTATTATGTGTAGGTAGGTCTGGTAACAAAATATTTTGGTTAAGTTTGTACGAATTTCTCATGTCAATAATACAATACAACTCTTTTGATTAACTAGATATGGGGAAGGGAGCAGTCCACTTAATCAACATACATCATCACATATCAGCAACATACAACACAAAAGTACCTGTGCCAACCCCGCACTAGGATGTATGTGAACAGTCTGTGGATGTTTCACAGTCCGATATGATCCATTCTTTTGCAATCGTGCAGAGTGTGGGAAAAACCCTGCAGCGGTTAAAAATTAGATTCAGTACACTTGAAAAGGATCTGAAATGCAAGAAATTATTAGTTTTATAAGTTTACCTGATGTAATGGATTTCTTGATGGCATCTAAATCACTATCATTTGATGTTAGTTCGATCTCAACCCTCTCTAAAAGACCTGCCAGTTGATCACGGATATCCCTAGCCCGTTTCATACTCCTTACCTGGACATCAAAAGAACAAACATAAAAATAGAATACTAAACTAAAAATCAAAGCATGGATGAACAAAAGATTAATAAATTCAAATAAAAGCATTTTAAGAAAGAATCATTGTTGAAATAGTCCATTTGTAATTCATAAAGGCAGGGGAACTAAACATGGGCATCATTGTCACATGCCTACATAGAATACAAGTTCTAAAATTTTCTTTTATGAAACAAATACTATCAGTAGAATAAAACAAAAAGTAATGTTAGAAAGGGTAAGATATCCTTCTTTAAGAAACCCAGAAAAGAAAAAGTCAATCAATAAAAAGAAAACGATCAGTAGTAGTTACAACTTCTCAATGCTATATCCAATCTATTTGCAAAGAAAACCCATTAAGTATTAACTTAAAACCACACATCTCACTAGCAATAATGAAAATGTGGAGTTAGCTCTTTTGGCCGACTTTTTTATACCAGTCTTCAAATTGTAAATATTTTTCAAAGATTATTATAATTAAATTCAAATCCTTGCAAAATAACAAAATTAAATTTAGAAATAAATTGAATAAAGTAACATTTCTCCCCATCACTTACTCTCCTCATTTCCCTTAATTTTCTCAACTCCCATTACCGCAAATATTGTACGTGAACATGAATCGATGTGTGAACTACTTTCTTCTAACATTCACTAAAAACTTACACGCTAAATACTGGTTTGTAACACTGGTCAATCAATACCTGTATGTAATTTTCATAGCACCATTGCGTTGAATAATTGGTCTCCTTCCACGAATTGTAGACCTGAACAACAAATAAAAATTAATAAGGTCCAAATTTAGAATGAAAAAAGACAATAATGGATCATCTCCCATGATAATCTGGCCTCGTCCCTGCTAGATGAAATGATAAATACACAATAGACAGAAGCATAGTAGTTACTAGCAAATAGTGGAGCGGCCACCTCCCAAATCCATCATAGGGAGACAGTGGTAGCGGGATGACCAGTATTTTGATCCAAAGTATTAATACATACATACATAGTGTGTATATATTAGAAAATGAATTTTGCCTAACTCAATCTTACAAACCCGATTTGCACTTATTTACAAACCTGTTTGTGATGGATGATACAAGAAAAATATCTAATCTATAATTAGATGAACAATAACATTTCACATAAAGGAAAAAAATGCATATAGATGAAGATGATGATCAACAAAATACAGAAAAAGGTAGGCAGAACAAAACCTTTAGCAATGCTATATGGTCTCCAACATTTCCTGTGTGAAAATTCATCCTTGCGTTGTCTGCATGTACTTGTTTATCCTTTGGACGGTAAAATATTGAGTTTCCAACAGAAAGCATAGCAGCAATAGAAATGATATCATCTGAACACTTGTAATTTTCTGAAGCCACTATCATTTTTGACAACATAGGATCAAGTGGGAACTCTGCCATCCGTCTACCCACCTTAGTTAACTCACCTAGCTTATTTAATGCACTTAACGCAAATAGAAGCTCCAGAGCTTTTAATAAGGCCTCTGCAGGTGGAGGATCCATAAAATCAAAGTTCAATAAATCATGAATGCCAAGACTTTTTAAAGTCAAAACTACATTTGCAAGGTTAGTCCGCTGTATTTCAGGAACAGTGTTTTCCTCCAAATCATTGTGAAAATTGTACGCAGTGTACAATCGGAAGCACTTTCCAGGACCTGTTCTTCCAGAACGACCTGCTCTTTGATTTGCTGAAGCTTTTGAGATGGGAGTTACTAGCAAAGACTCCATTCCTGTTCTTGGATTATAACTTTTCATCTTACAAAATCCTGGATCAATGACATACTTGATCCCATCAATTGTCAATGACGTTTCTGCAATATTAGTAGCAAGGACAACCTTCCGTGCCCCTTCAGGAGTGGGTTCAAATATTTTAGCCTGCAATTCAGTTGGAAGATTGGCATATATAGGGCATATTATTAACTCGGCAATTTTAGTCCCCAAGCCTCTAGTTCGATGCTTCAAGATTTCTTCTGCCGTTTCAATCTCTTCTTGACCAGTAAGGAATACCAATATATCTCCAGGAGGTTGAGTGACATGGATTTGAAGTGAGGTGACAATAGCTGCATCCAAGTAGTCAGCCTCTGGAGCTTTGGTGTAGTTTATTTCAACAGGATATCTTCTCCCTGGAATTCTGAATATTGGCGCAGAATCAAAGTAATCACTGAATTTCTCCGCATCAAGTGTAGCACTTGATATCAGCAACTTGAGATCAGGCCGAAATCGAGCAATATCCTGTCATAAAAACAGAGTAAACAAGCATTTAAATCCTTTAAAGGGTATAGCTGATAAAACACTGATATTTGGTATTTAAGCACGCTAATTTCAGCAGTAGCTGTCCCACATTTGTAAGGATTCCTGCACAGCATAACTCTGTCCAAAGAACATTCAAATATGCTCACTTATTTCCTACCAAGCATTTTCTACATAAATTTTACATAATAGCTGCTCCTAAATGTCAACCATCAGACCTTATACAAAATACTGTTCCTAGAAGACATCTGAACCTAATTAAACAATACTCATGTAACTGCTCTTATTTTCTGCCAATAATTGTTGTATCTCCTCCTAATCCCATCAATAGCACTGTCATTAATTTTCGAAACTAAGAAAATTCCAAACAAGTGTCTGAAAGTGCATCAGTTAAATTACATGATTCAAAAATTCAAAATATGTGACTTAAGTTACAATATTAACATATGTTTCGGGACCAAAATGATTATAAGTGATGTTTAAGACTTATATGAAACCATAAGAAATTTCAAGGACCTACATGAAATTTTCAGTTACAAAAACTAATATGACACAACATTATACACTTACAGGGACCAAAAATGATGATTTAGCCCAAAACCAAGTACGTAAGTACACAGGAGGATATTGTAATGAACAACTTCAAATAGGACTATTTATTCATTGAACTTGAACATGCTCTTCAAACACATCCAAATATGAGAAAAGACCATGCATTGATGAGTTACAGTTACAGTTTGACCATGATCAAATATTGCACAACAATATATAACAAAAGAATCCATGCAATCAAAAGCACCATATCAGATTTCTTACATGAATAAAAAAACAATTGCACCAGACTAAACCGAATATATGCCCAAAGTGTCTTCTTCCCTATCAATAAAATGTTTATTGTTCAAGGAATATGATTCAAATATCTCAACTCTCAACCAGCTAGAACTATAAATAAGGCATACAATTTAGTACAATTTTCCACTCACCTTCACTAATCCAAACAGAATATCAGTTGAGAGTGTTCTTTCATGAGCCTCATCCACCATCACAACACTACAACATTTGCAAATGTAATAAGTAAAAATAATAATGCTTCTAACTAAACCCCAAGTATGAATCCACTATAAGCTCACCTATAACTTGCTAGATCAGGCTCACCAAGAAATTCCCTCAGTAACATCCCATCAGTCATATATTTCAGAATAGTTTTCTCTGATGTACAATCTTCAAAACGGATGGAGTAACCAACCTAAAATTGAAAAGCTTTAATTAAATAATTGAAAGACTGAGACATGTGTAAGAGAGATGTACGCAATCAAATTATATATCAAAGAGAACTTAAAATTTAACATGTAATCTATACGTCCATTTTTTAAGAAATGGGAAATCTTAACACCAAATACACTATATATAACAATAATAACCAGCAGGAATCAACGTTAAAATATTCAATACATAAAGCAGCCTACCTCGTGCCCTAATTTAACACCCATTTCTTGAGAAACTCGGGCAGCAACACTCATAGCCGCAACACGCCGTGGCTGAGTACATGCAATCTGCAAAACAAATAAAGAACCATCTTAGGTTTGCTCATTTCCAATGCCTACAAAGAGTTCGATACAAGATGTGAAAAGTTACAAATATCCACAGTTGAACGACACAATCAAAATTAAATTTTTAAACCATGGCCACTGTTCTTGAATTGTTTTCTAGGAACTAAAGTAGCATGCATGGAAAAATAAACAGGTAGCTACCTGTTCCACAATTTATAAGCAATAGTTGACCAGACCCACAGAACAAGAATATAGAAAAAAAGAACCGTAGGTAAAGTAGCACTGCCTTGTCAATATTTGCACATTGTAAAATAAAAGTCAATATAATGGCACAGAAGGTTTTCAGATGAAATCAACCTATTGTAAGCACATAAAAGAAATTAAATCACACCATTCCATGCTTTGTATAGCCAGCTTCATGAAGATATTGGGGGATCTGTGTCGTCTTTCCAGAACCAGTTTCTCCAACAATTACAAGTACCTACATAAAGAGAATAATCAAGGTTAATTTGAAAAACCATACAATTGTATGCTAGAAAATATTAATAAAAGGTAATGAATACAAATAAAGAACAGCTCACTGACAACAAGATGAAATTCATTCATATTCAACACCAAAAATAAAAAGTACTATAATAAAAAATATGGGAAAAAACAAAAGCAAGGAATAGAAGAGGGCAATGCCTGATGATCATGAATAGCTTGGAGCAATTCATCCCGATAGCGGTACATGGGTAACTTTTTCCTCTCCTCCTATAAGAAAAAAAAAAGTGAACAACATAGTCTCTTTTTATAAATTAATCCAACCAGAAGATTGAGATTTTATAAATTAACCTCAAGTTATCTTTTCCAGTTGCCATCTAATACCAAGTAATAGCTTCCTAGCCTTTTTAGTTATCCTTTTTGTAGCCTAATCATCGTTTGTGGCCAAACCATCATTTTCATCTATAATATTTAACAAAGGAGGCAGTCCATTTAACCGTTTTTGTCACATAATTCTTTTATCCAATCATTCAGATTTGTTTATGATTGTATTTTACCAAATGATATGATAGAAACAGGATCAAAGCAGTGTTATGATGATTATAGCATGATGTACGCATTAGTGCAATATCAATACCTGTCTGGTGGGATTTTTGCAATGGAATGAATGCATTAGAGTGAATCACATAACACAGGATCGACCCTCCCTCACTCTTCTCCATATTTTCCTTATCACCCTTTCTTCTCCCTTTTCCTTTTTATATCCATACATGTCAAACTTTACCTTCCAAATTCCTTTGCTAATCTCACGGGCAAATCTATTAAATTAACTACTTCCTTGATTTCCCAATCCCCGTTCTTTGCATCTCTTGCAATCTGAGGGCATTAATCATGTTAATAGAAGCAAGCTTGGAACTTGAAGATTTGATGCTCCAACCACTATGATGATGTTGATGCAAATGTTGATCATATTTGCCCTTTGTTTGATCTTGTTATTGAGTTGTAATTTTAGTGCAAAATGTGTTGTGTGGATTCTTTATCCTTGATCTTGTATATGTTGAGTAGAAAATTTACTGGAAATGTTCTGGCCTTATTTGAAATGTTTAGTGTTGCTTTAAAGGATTAAAAGTTACTTTAATATGTTAAGATGTTTTAAGATTGTTGTATTTGCCATAAAAAACTTTTTAATTGAATAAAATATCATTTTAATTAATCAATTTCACTTAAAAATGTCAGGTCTTGACGGCATACTGTTTTAATCAACTAAAATGACTTTTTGATTGATTAAAATCACTTAAATTACTCACGTGATTTTTAAGGATTAGGAATACATTTTAACATATTAAAATACTGTGACTTGGCCCTAGACTCTGTTTAATGGATTAAAACAGCTTTTAATCCATTAAATCTATAAGCTGTGCAAGTTATCTCATTGAATCATTATCCAATCCATTCCAAAATATTCTAAAACTTTTCCAAACCTTAAGATAGTTGTGCAAGTGTGAAAAACACTTTTTTGTGTTGCTCTACTGAATCAGTGACATCAAGTTCATATATTGAGTCAACCACATTGAAGATCACCTTGTTTCTAATCTTCTTAGTTGAAATTTTTCCAGGTGATATGTTCTTTTTTCTCATTTCTTGGTTGTAAGGGTGGACAAGATGGTGCTTATGATAGTTTCACAAGTGGTGTGTAGATCTTGTAAGGTTCAAGACTTTGGTGTGGTGTGGTGTATTTTCTTGTCTTGTTGAGGAGTTTTTGTCAAAACACGAAAAATACAGTGGATCAGCTTAATCAGGATGATTACGCAGGATGATTCGGAAACTGGAAATTAGCTCGTTTGTAACGGTAAACCAGTATAATTCTTAGTGTTTTTCCTTTCTCTATCTCATGCATAACATTTATGTGTTGTATCTTGTTTGCTTACTCAAGGAGTGTTTAAAAACATTAACATTGGTTATTGTTGATATAAAACTCTGTTTTTAAAAGTGAGCTATCTTGTTTAAAGAAATTTGCTCATTCATTTGCAAAAATCATTGAAAGTAAAAATTCAACCCCACTTGAACTTAGTCCTTATTTCTAACAAATCATTACCTCCTGTTGAGGTTCCAACATAAAACCAATTGACAATATGTGGAGTAGCCTAACATGTATTTAAACCATACCAAATGACATGAGGTAGGCGATGCGGAACTTTCAACATGCTCCCTCCAACGAAGTCTGCCGAACCAGGCAAATGGTACTTTTGATCCAACTAAATGGCAACTTTTAGCCCATGACAATAACCGGAAAGATATTAGGTTTTGACTCTGATACCATGTTAAGGTTCCAACATAAAACCAATTGGCAATATGTGAAGTAGCCTAACATGTATTTAAACCATACCAAATGACATGAGGTAGGCGATGTGGGACTTTCAACACCCCCTTAAGAGATCAAATCCTCCGCATTACTTCCTAATATACATTTTAGTCATAGATGGTTTCCCTCTCCCACTTGTGTAACTAAAAATTGCTCTTGATCTGATTAAACTAACACTACTGCACTGATCTTTTCTCCCTCTTAATTGTCCTTTTCATGTTTAAAATGTGTAAAATGCTCACAACACACTTTATCCAACACACCACTGTTTGATTAAATTCTAGTAGGTTCCACTAAATATCAAAAGGAAGTCAATTAATAGTGAATAGTATCCACATCATTATAAGAGCGTAAGTTTGTTAGGAATTCCCTTACCACAAAAAATAATCTGAAATCCTAAGACGCCAACATACACCTTCAGCAGCAATAACTGAGAAACTGAAAACACGTTTTTATTTCACTATACTCACAAACACACAAAAGCACCAAGGTAAACAATAGTAAACCCAAAAGGAACATTCTCATGTTCACACCGGCAATATCCAGTTACTATTTTTTTCCAATAAAAAATCCACATAATTATAAGAGCGTAAGTTTGTTAGGAATTCCCTTACCACAAAAAATAATCTGAAATCCTAAGACGCCAACATACACCTTCAGCAGCAATAACTGGGAAACTGAAAACACGTTTTTATTTCACTATACTCACAAACACACAAAAGCACCAAGGTAAACAATAGTAAACCCAAAAGGAACATTCTCATGTTCACACCGGCAATATCCAGTTACTATTTTTTCCCAATCAAAAATCCCCTCTCACATACATCCGAGGACCAATTTATTATATCCTCATCACTCACTAACCGAAATAACTAACTACTCAACTCACATACTAATTACAACTTAACTCTTCTTTTTCCTCTTTTTCTTCTAAAATAGACATGTAAAGGACTTTGCCATTCTCTATTTTACCTATCAGCATTTCCAACAATACACCCACCCTTTGAAACAACCATACCCTCAAGGTTAATATCTAGAAACTGGCTGCTGAAATCTGATAGGCCTTCCAAGTTTCTTCTTCTGGAGATTTATTCTGCCATCGCACCAACACTTGTGGATTTGCTTTCCCTTTTTATTCATTGTTCTATTCTCCAAGATCTAAAGGCTAATAAACTGACTAATTCTACTTGTAACTCTACAGGTATATTTGCCTCAACTGAATCATTCCCCACAACTTTCTTAAGTAGAGAAACATGAAAAACAGGGTTAATATGAGCCTATTCAGGCAGTTGTAATTTGAACGTCACAGCTCCCACTTGCTGTAAAACCAGATAAGGTCCTAATAACTTGCTGCTATTTAAGATGAAGTTTGGTAGCCATGGTTGTTTGTCTATGAGGCCTGATCTACAAATATACCAAATCTCCTTGTTGAATCGTAGCTATCTTCTTATACCTATTAGCATAATGTGTCATCTGACGCGCTCTCCTCAAATGAAATTTCAATTGCTTTATAGTCTTACACAACTTCCACCAAAGTTTCTTGTGGTACAAACTTGGTCCAAGAAGGTGGTGAAATTCCATAAACTACCTCAAAAGATGTGCAATTTGCAGTACCCTAAAGACTAGTGTTATACATATATTTGGTGCATGGAATAAAATCTACTCAACTTTGATAAGTTCATGAATGGAGAAAAAGAAAATGAACAAGAGTATATATAATTCCATGAAGTAACAAGGAGCATGACAAGATAAAATACTCTTACTCTGAAAAATGTCTTAATTTTGTATAGATTGATAATTAGGATTTATTTTCTATAGTCGTAATCTAGGGTTGTTCTTGTAATTAAGGTTTATTTTGAATCTCCATTTGGGCCCAACAAGAGGAACATATCTCAGCCTAGAAGGGAGCACCTGTGGTTTTTAGTTGCCTTAAAAATCAAGCCCAAATTAGTAAAAGTTCGGCCAAGGCTTGTAGAAACACACATGGAACAAGTCAGAAAGGTGTGACCAAGGCAAAAAGGCATGATTAGGCATGGAACACAACTTCTTTCCCTATCTCTAACAAAGTTAGACATTTAATTATTATAATTTGTCTCAAAATTAAGCAACTGCTTTAAGTATTTTATTTTAATTTAATATTAAATATTTAAACATGAAAAATAATTGACAAGTTAACGCCTGTCCATCTGATAGCAGAAGCTCATAAAGCCATAGATAAATTTTGCAATGCTACCTGAAGTGCCTCCAAAGCTGACTTTGCTCTGGACTTTTCAAGAGAATCTTCCATCTCTTCATAATCAAACTGCAAAGAGAGACTGGATCAAACAAAAGGACTATCACCATTGAATTTCATGAGTCAAGCTGTGTAATCCACATACCTTATCTCCATCCATTACTGATGCCTTGATAAAATCAATCTGGTCCTCAAACACAAACCTAATACAAGTGAGCAAGTTTAAAATCAATTATTTCTATACAAAAGATCTAATAATAAAAAAGGCTTAATCACTAAGAAGGTCCCTGACCTATTTAGAAATTTTTAATTAGGTCCCTAAACTTTTTTCAATTGAATCCTTGATCTTATATATATTTTTTTAATAGGGTCCTTGTGGTATAGTTTCGTCTAACTACAGTTTGTTTTGTTGATGGAGATTTAACCACAGAAACCCAATTTAAATGTTTAGGAAGATAATTGAAGGTGAGCCCTGGTGCAACAATAAAGTTGCACCTCGATGATTGGTTGGTCATCAGTCTGAATATTGAGTCTAGTTTCTAGATGAAGTAACTTACTGATAATCATCAGAGACTTGTTTTTTATTTTTTGAACCAAACTTCAGCGTTGCCTTTCCTGAAAGATGTTATTCAGAACTTTTATACATATAAAGAATAAGGACTTATTAAGAGTATAGATTCTGAGTATATTAATACAGAAAATTTACCAATTTGATGTTCCTCCCAAGCCTCTTGTTCAGCAAACGGATTCATTTTATCCTCAGCATTTGGATCCCTACAAGAATATAACAAACATATGATGTTTGATCAAGCAAGTAACAAATGCTTCTGAAAATTCATGCACAACCACAAGATAAAAAACATGTGATAACTGATATGATGAGAATAGACTAATAGTGTATATGTGATTCCAACTGGAGTGGAGATCGTAAAGTGAAATACCTATAACGCTGCATTGCCACAGAAAATCTCTTCTCCTGATTAACACCACCTTCCTCATCATAAGCTTCTGGCATTCTATACTGCAAATTCAGGATAACATGAGTTGGACAAAGAAACACGGAGATGGGTCAATTTAACTTATTGTGTGCCCAGATCCCTTTTGTCAGTTCCCAGATCCCAAAAGGACTAAACACTGTCACCTGAAAGATCTTTACACCAATTTCCATTGCAAATGAGTAGATTTCAAGTGTATTATACAACTTAGTCTTGCAATAACTTACTAATAATCAAAAGAAAGTTAAAGCGGAAATAACTGGCAAGCAGCTTAAATTAAACTAATAAAAAATTGTTTCAACAATAATCAGCAGTTAATAAACAAACCAATCAGGATCTCATGCTCATGGAATACAAACTGATTGATTATATACCTCATTCACATTGTCAGCCTCCTCTGACCGCTTCTTCACAAGTTCATATAACTCTTTCTTGTACCTGGGGGCAATAAATTAAGCAGATAAAAATTTTCCTGGGTATACAGAGGCTATATCTTTGATATCAATGACTGGGCTCTATACACTCATGCAATACGAACTAATTGATTATATACTTCCAAAACATACAGATTGAACATGAAAAAATAACAAATAACTGAATCAACAGTTTGATTATAGTTCAAACATTACTATAGGGAGACCTTTGGTAAAAGGAAAATTTTTAGTTTTCTGAAATTGGGAAACTATGTTTCCTATGTTTGGTTTACCTTTAAAAACATAGCATTCCCAAGAATAAATTTTGGTCAAGTTTCTCGCAAAGACATTTCCATATGGAGGTGAGAATCTAACTTTCATGAGTTGAAATAAAAAATTTAATGAAAAAAAATACCATATTATTCTTATTAAATCATTTAACAGATAACAAATTAAAGATTTTCATAAAAATAACACATTATGAAAACTTATATAAATATTCCCAGCAATACTTTTCACTAAGTCATTCATAGGAATCATAAGTCCCAGAATTCATTATTCGCAAGTATGAAAAGATTTCTCTGATATCAATTGTCCCCTAAAGCAAGGACTATAGCAGAGATCAAAGCTGGGTATATCATTTGTTTCACATACTATCTTTAACAGAGAAAAAAAATAAAGAAATAAATAAATGTCTAAGAAACAAAAGACAAATTGAAGGGGAACTCAAGAAAGTAGTAAAAAGATATTTTACCTCAGTTCCCGATCTTCTGATTCTGAAAGCTTCACACCTTCAAATAGATATTGTTCATCTTCTATATCATCTCTGCAGTAACCAAGCCAAACTATTAAACTCAACAATAAAATAAAGAGCTAATATGAATAATAACATACCACACGGCAAATTAATAGAATCAAACTATAATTTATTCATTTATCAGATCTAACAAAGAACCTTAAGAAAACAAAGATACTTAAGTTTCATGATACCTCAGTTCTTCTAATTTCTTTTCCTCCCTTTTCTTCAAGTATTCTTGCCTTGAAACCTTTCTGCAATGACAGGTGGAACTGTAAGTGACATGACATACTGTGCTAAACTTTAAGTCATTACAAAGCAATCAATAACAATTAATCCTTAAACAAGACAAGAGAAAAAGACAGAAACAACAATGTGTGGTTGGCTACGTGGCAAACATTACCATTGGGCAACAAAAACCAAAACTTCAATATTTCATTGCATCCTTTCAATTGTTTCTCCTAAAGTTTAATTCAGTTATCAACTTTACACTAAATATATTCTATCCAAGAATACGAGATAGCTCTTGCATCCCTTGTGCATATTTACCACAAAATTCCCTCAAAGAAACCATGTGTTGAGCACAAAATAGCAACCAAAAAATCAAATCAATCCCAAAGAGAAAAAGTTTTGTTTCAAAGGTTTTCCTTTTGAGACACCATGAAATATCAGACAGAGCAATTTGCTATGGCACTTTATTTACTCCAGGCAAGACATTTAAATCAATATTTGGTCTCATGATTTTCCTTAGGTGTTCCATGCAAGACAACCTTCCAAATCCTAAGCATTCAATGAACTAGGTTTACTAATTTATTATGATCACAGGCTTTTGTTTTGCAACTTGTGACCACGGATTAACTATTGATATGTTTTATGTATTTATAGCAATTAGTGATATGAATGTCGCTTTTGTTAACGTATTTTGGCTATGCCTTATCTTCATATTTTAAATTTTTTTCTTATCTTTGTATTCATATCTTACCGAAATTTGATTGTACTATGTTTCAGGTTTCTTAGGTTGGCACAAAGGTAGTAACATTTTGCAATGGAAACCTGCTGATGAGGCCACCATAAAAGAAAACAAAAATAAAAATAAACTCGGTATGCTAGTTTACCCCTAACTAACACTGCCTGGATGTCCATCAGTATATCTTTCCCAACTTTCTTTTTTTCCAATAATTCTAGTAACTAGTGTGAAAAAGAAATTAACAGTTATAAAATATACCTGATAAAGTAATTAAATATAAGCACAATAATTTACACACTTCATGTTTAAAAAATAAAAAATATACTATACAAAAGCAAAAATTGCAAGACTCAGAAGGTATAAAAGAATTTAAACAAATGGAATATATGTCTCTTTCTCGGTGATTTGAAGGGTATAGAAAACCCAAAAATATAATAAACCATTTGCTTCATATGCATAACTTATATTAGTATTTAATAATGTATGAAAAATAATATGCAATAGATAATAATAATAATAATGAAATAAAATAATAAATATATTTAATTTTGCAATAATTTTTAAACATTAAAATAATAACAGATAATAGATATCATCTGAATATACAGATAAAAAAATACAATTTAAAATTGCTAGATGTATCATATATAATCTAAACTTTAGCAGTTAAGTCTTAAGTTGTTCATACATTTCATAATATTATTTATTGATTAAAAGTACTTATGCTAGATGTTCAGTTTACTGCTTTTTTTTCCTCACTGACTAACCAGGTTCTTAAACATCAATCTACACACTTATAAGTGTACAGCCCTTAACATTTCCAAAAAAATAAAAACTTTATCTTCTAGCATTATCTTATCCTCTACCAGAAAATGGCAAATGTTGATGGCACTTTTCTCACATAGAAGAATACCCCCCCAACCCTGTCACAAAAATTTAAAAACAAACCTCAAAGCTTGAATATCATCCTGCTCTGCAGCATTAGATCTTCGAATTGCCTCTTCTGTTGGACGACAGATTGAACCAAGATTACATTGACACTCATATCTGTACATATTAATAAGTTTAAAAGCCACAGACATACCTTCCTCCTTTCGTGTTAATTTATGTTCAGTCAACTGAAAATCAAGAAACAATTCAAACAATAAGAAAGTAACAGATAATGTAAAACATTGAAAAAATAGTACACTACATATGTATGCATGGAATTCGGTAAATGTGCTTCTAATAGAAACATCATCATATTCTTCAATAATATTAAATAATCTAACAAGATTTAAAATAACAACTGCACCATAAGTATTATCCGAATTGCATTAAGGGCTGATAACAGTATATATACCACTAACAACTTTTCATAGGGGTTGGGTAACATAACACTGATTACAGTTAAACAACAAAACATTTTAAATGAGACATAGACAAGCCAGGTTAGTACATTGATTTACCCTATCAAGCCCCTATGTGCCTATTTATTTTGCATTATAGAATATGGAGTCACTACTATCCCAAAAATAATCTATTTCAAGTTTTTGATGAATACAGGGTGTGTGTATATACTCCTAGCCTAGAGAAGAAACTTGATGCCAGAGTGCAATTTTTTTGTTCTATCATATGCATATGGTTGGAGCAGAATGCAGACATCTTCAAGGGTGCTTCTATGCCTTTACATATGATATGGACAAGTCCACTGTATGAGCTTTCATTGGTGCTATGAACATGGCCAGTTAGTGGGGAACAGGACAATCTTATATGTGGATATAATGGATAAATTTGTTTCCAGTTTAAAACACAGCTGTATCCTTGTTTCTTGATAGACCTTTGGCCATTGAGAAGTCCCTGATTGAATTTTTCTATGTCAATAAAACTTTTTTCATTTATAATACACATATAATCTTATTAAAAAAACAACGAACCAGAATTTAATAATATGAAATATTAATTTTTATATCAAAATGTTGCACATTGTTAACCATCTACCCACGGTTTACCTCATTCTTTGCAATATTTTTGTTTTGATTATCATAACAAAGCATTCATGCAGCTATTATTTAACATCCTAAGTTAAGTAATAGTAGTATTAACCCATAATGATGATGATAATAATAATAATAATAATAATAATAATTAAAAGAATAATGCACAAGTATACCTAACCAAATCAATTTGAACATTGATAAGTACCTTCCGTGTCCCTGCTGCATCTCGTTCTCTCATATGCTGCTCTAATTCCTCTTTCTCTCTTTGATCTTTCAATCTTTCTTCTTCAGACTGTATGCAAATAAACAAGCAATTACATGAAGACAGGAAATGGATAACAAAAAATAATGCTTTTAAAATAAATGTAATGAAACACCATGTGCACAAAGAGAAATTTTTTAAACAAAAAACCAATTGACATCATCAACAAAAAATAGACTGCACAGAATCTAATTTTCTTTTGAAAACACATCATATTGAAGACAGGCAATAATAGCTTCAGGATACATATGGATCTAAACATCACTCGGTAAGAGACCAAATTACCCAAGAAACAAGACCAGAAACCCAATGATAAATAGAAATGGATATGAAGCTTGGGTAAAACCAAATCTGACAGTCAGCAATAACATTAATCAAACAAGTGGATATGACAGAAATTTCATTATCAGTACTAAACCTTGTCATGCAAATGCAAATGTAGACATTTAAGGTGGGATAAACTGAAAAGTACCTCTGAATCAGTATCATCATCAGGGGAAGTTCTTCTCTTAACTTGTCTCTCCCTTTCCTTTCTCAAAATTACCTGCAGGATTGCATTTGGTCAAAACAATTCACATGCTGTTAGAAGAACCATCGATTAGCAGCTTACCATGAGCAAGAGATATGAAAATGAATCTAATAGGTTATGAGCACTTTGCCTCATCGTCTTGATCATCTTGAACTTCAGTTTTCTTCCTGAAACGTTTTTTTTTATGATTGTCGGGCTTTGTAGATGAAGTAGTAGTTATTGTAGATTTATCTACAAAGTCATCATCACTATCATCATCAGCCTTCAAAATTGTGTAAGTCTTCTGCTTCCTGGCCAACATTACAGCTTCTCTCTCTTGTTTCTGATATTGCTGATATAGAATGCAAGAGTATCAAAAGACAGAAGATAATAGAGATTCGAAAGAAAAGAATTTGTGCAGTATATTTTCGCTGCACCTTGGGTGAAAAAAAAAAAAAAATCTCACATTTAAACCAGATGATTTTCGAGGAACTCTTGCATAAATTTCCTCTGCAAATGCATGAGTATCAGTTGACGAGGAGATCCCAAACTCCACTAGCTTTCCCACCAAATTAGCTGGTGAAGTAGCTTGCTTGGCTGCAACACCAGAAAAGTGAATACCAAAAAGGGCCATTGAATCCCTGGCATATGATTTCAAAATTGACGATAGAAGACTTTCAAGACAAGTAAATGATAATAGATGAATTACATAGTCCAATCATGTACTGTACGACTGTGGGCTGAGAATATCCCAGTAGAGACATTAATTTATCAGATACCCATGTCTTTAGACTATCATCACCCTCCATTGTCACTGCAAGAAGTAATATAAAATGCAATACATTAGCAAACTTTTGGAGTAAATGGTTAGGGAAATGACAAGATTTTTCTCTGACCATGATGTTAAGATTATCATCAGCCGAAATACAACTTGAACGATAGTTGCACACACAAATAAAGAATGCAATACATATGCAATCTTTGTGACAAGTGCTTATGTTAAAAATGCCATGCAAGACAGAATAATTCTGAAACTTTTTTTATACAATAGTATCTGTAAACAGACTAATGTCTTCAATGTGAGAAGTTTGAACTCCAAAACCCTAATACTTTTCTTTTCCATAAACTATAAATTAGAAGACCTCTTATATAGTCTCTATATTTTTATTTTTAACTCATGCAAAAAAACTAATTTTAGCTTATAGAGAAGTTTTAATTCATCTTTTTCTTCTTATTTTTCTCTTTAGAGTGTCTATTGAAAAGTTTGCCCCAAACCCGACCCTAATTCAAAATGAAAAAGGGAACATCATCCACGTCGTCCTAACCTATTTATCGTTAGTCACGATCAAGATTCACATTTTCCTTACTTAAGCACTAGTTTGAAATCCCCATAAGCTAGCTCTACCTATAATAAAATCTCAACTTAAATCTACAAAGCAACCAGTGGGATAAAACAAGAACAGATCAATCCTTTTGTTTTCCTGATTATTGTTTGAACTAGCAACCCACCACTAATCTTTAATTTAACAACATGCATATAAAATATTCTACAGCAGCAGCAGCAGCACAATCATTACTATATAATGAAATAGCATGAAAATCATAATCAAATGCACAAGATTATTCACAAATCAAAAACACAAACCCTAGATTAGAGAGAAATACAGAGACAAAAGGAGAGAAAGACGAACAGGAGTAGAGTTGAAGAGAGGGAGAGCGAACGCAAGAGCAAGTGAGAGAGGTTCGAGCGCGTAAAACGAAATTCTGTGTGTACGTATTGAACTTCTTCCTTCTCAGTTATCTAAAATTCTAATTAAAATTCTCAAAATTTTAAAATCTTTCTAGTAAAAATACCCAAGCACTAAAATTTAACATAATTTCTTTCATAAAGTAAAAAATATATAATATTTAAATCTTCATGAAATTATTTTTTCTTTCAAAATTCTCCATTTAAAGTAAAAACACTGAAGTAATCATAATTTTGATTATATTTTACAAAATTCATAATTTTAATCCCTTTTTTTTCTTTACAATTTTAATTTTTAATATTCAATTCTTTTTAATTTTGGTCTTTGTTTGTAATTATTTATAATTTTTCATCCTGGTAGGTATATTGAATGAAAATTTTGAAATATTCTGAATTGACAGTTGAATTTTTGTATAATGATTTGAAAAAGTGATTTAAATTAATATAGAGACCAATTAGAACCCTTTAAATGCTTCAGAATTCAAATTTTGTTTCGTAATAACTTTATTCAATAGTCAAACCGGGTGGTCACTTATTGGCGTACATAGTGGCATATAAACTAGTAGTTTTTAAAGCACACATTGAATACTTCAATTGACTTTTGCAATTAAAGTTTCTGCAAAAGGAAATGATGAAGCATGTTCTTCTTTTCTTCTGCTTAGCATCTTTAACCCTTTCAGTCTCAGAGTCCAAATCTGATTATCTTCAACATCGTGCTGCTGATTCCTTCTCTTTTGGCTATATTCAGGTACTAAAGTGTATGATCTTTTAAGATAAACCCTTTTCTTCAATTTTCATTTTTGTGCATGATTACCTTTTGTGTTCAATAGACGCAGACCCCGGCGAACTGTTCTTATCTTGTGATTATATCTACAAGTTGTTCATCACCCAAGTTCACATTCGAGAAGATCGGAATTGCTTTTGGGGACCCTTATGGCAAGGTTTTGTGTTTTTCATTCAATGAATTCGATAATTCGTTCGAGCGCATGTTTAAAGGGTTCAAGATCTAGTTTTGAACCAAATAATGATAAATGTTGTTTATATAAGAATTAGAAGCAAACCTTAATAGTTAATTGAAATTCAACTCAAGATTCATGATATTCAATACTCTGTTAGTTTTGTTTGCCAACTTGATGGTTGACTTTAAAATTTAAAGTACAAACTATCAAATTTTTTTCTGTATTTACTAGTTAAGGAAGCTTAATTTGGAGAAAAAACCTTGAAACTTTTGTTTGATTATTATTACTTACCAGGTAATCGAAAAAAGACTGGATAATCCAGCTTCAAGAACATTCGAGCAGTGTTCTGTAGATGTATTTGAGATATATGGGGCATGCGCATCACCTATTTGTTATGTGTACTTACAAAGATCTGGTGCAGTGGACGATTGGAAACCTGAAAGAGTGAAAATCTATGGCAACAACAGATGGCTCCTTACTTTCAATTTCAACTTCTCCCTCCCTGATGCTACATGGTATGGCTATAACTGGTGTAATGATATTCCTCCATATCACCTATATCCTGAGAAATGGCTTTCCCTTCAGAAATGGTTTGTTTTTTTGAGACGATGGTAATGGTGTTTGAGTGTTAGAGTTTACATAAATTAATCAAATATTCTACTCTGGGATAACCTAGTCAGGAAGACTTAATCAAAATTGATTTCTTTGTAAGTAAGAAGTTAACAAAGTTATGCATGTGAAGAAAAGTTTGTTCAACTGATATAAGGTCAATTTCATATCTCAAAAACTTAGATTCAAGTCTTACTTTGTAAAGATCCTTGTTAATGGATAGCTTGTAAGTATTCATTTAAGTTATAAAACTTAAATGCGTTTATAGTTTTTGTAACTAAAATTCACATGTTTTATAAAAAAAATTAAATTATTTTAAATAAGGAAAAAAATATAAGTTACTAATTATACAAGATTTAAAAACATGTTTAAATATACTTTACATAATTAATATTGATAAAAAAAAGTATCATAATAGTTACTATTATTCTTTAGTTTTACAAAACAAAAAAACAAACTAAATATTAGTCAAATGTTTGCCACCTAAATAAGACTATAGGTATACATTATTACGAAAAGTAAAAGAAAATGTTTGAAATGAGACTGCATAACACAAAACTCACGTTTGAATGACCTGCAAGGAATCAGATAGTCCATTTTCTCACATCATATACGATTTAAATCAGCAATATAAAACAAATTTAGGTTTTATTTGTTAGGGAACGGTGGATTTTTTTATTTATTTAACTTTAACGATACAGGTATGTTTCAAAATAAATTATAGATTTGAATAAAGTCTGTAATGAAGTATGACTTCAATTTTTTTTAAAATGTTTTTCTTAATTTAAAATTTAGGAAAAAATCATAATACGATTTGATTTTTTTTTTTATATTTAAGAAGAACTGTCAAGTAAAATTTGTATTTATTATGTAATAATAATATTAATTATTATTATTATTAGTATTATATTATTATTATAATTAATAATAATACTTTTATATTCTTAATAAAATAAATAAGAATAATTAAATTTATATTATTAAAAATTATTATTATTATTATTATTTTATTCTTAATAAAATTAATAATAATATAATACAATTATAATTATTAATATTATTATGATTATAATAATAATATAAATATTCTTATTATGATTTATTTTATTGCTAATTGTAATAATAATAATAATAATACAATTATATAATAAAAATTTATTTTTATTTATAATAATAAAATTATTAAATTATACTAATTTAATTATTATATTTTAATAATTATTATCATATAATTATACTATAAAAAATAATTTAATATTATTACAACTTATAATAATAATTTAATATATTTAATTGTTGTCTAGTTTATATATATATATATATATATATATAATAAAATTATATGTGACAATTTAATATAAATATATAAAATAAATACAAAATACAAAATTTCTGAAGATCAAATCAAAATTCACATCATATATTTATAAGATAAATTAAAATTATAAAATTTAAACCTATTTTTAAAAATTGATTTAGGGAGGATATTAACATACTAATTTAATTTATTTATATTATTTCAATTATAATTAATAATAAAATAACGATAAATTTACTTAAAATTATAAATATAATTAATATTTATTATTATTAATACTATTCTATTATTAATAAGAAGATAATAATATTAATTCTAATTACATTATTATTTAATATTAATAGTAATAAAATAATTATTAGTTTATTAATAATATTCATTTAATTATTATTATTTAATTTTTTATTAATAATATAAATATATTATTAGTTATAATAATTATTATTACTATTATTATTTTAATATATTAATAATAAAATAATATAATTATTAGTTTAAATAATAATATAAGTTTAATTATTATTATTTATTTATTAATAATACCAAAATATTATTATTATTAGTTATAATAATATAATAATTATTATAATATAATAATATAAATGGTAGACGACTTTTATATATATATATATATATATATATATATAAAGTTATATTATAATTTCTTCTTAAATAAATAAAAAATTGAAATATCACTTTCGCATTTCATAATTTATTTTTATATTTTAATTTATAATTATTTTTAATTTACTCATAACTATAAATTAAAAAAAAATACACCAATTTAATAAAAAACCAAAAATTTAATTTAGAAGAATATTAAATTTGGCAGTAACTATTTACTAAAATACAGCAGTAGCTGCAGGTTGAAGAAGACGGTTTTCATGATGACAACATAATACAAGGTTTCATAAAATATTTGTAGTTGTAAATTTTTGGCTTTAGTATATTTTGTTAATGTTTAAAGTTTCTTATCATTTAAAATCAATGATATTGAGATTAGCCATTGAAAACTACTTGGAGACGTAAGATGCATGTTTTACTTGTGATAAGAGAAGTGCACGTTAGAAAAATGATACTTTAGTGTTTGTTTTCTTTTCTTTTATAAAATAATAGATTATTGTATATATAGTGAGTTGGTTTTATGTCATAATTTTAATATGGTATTGAAATCAAATCTAACTTTTTTTTCAATTATTATCTTTATAAAAAGATTTTTTTTTTTGGTAAAAATATCATTTGTTATTATTTTGAATAAAATATTATTTTTAAAATATTATTTGTGTGACGTATGTTTTTTTAATATTATAATAAAATTACTCGTATAGGAAAATCTCGTAATGCACAGTGAATTCTTGCTTTTATATATGCGCGTATCGAAGCGGGGAGGAGGTAGAATAAACATTTCCTCTTATCTCTTCTTCTTTTGTCTAAATTTCAAGCAACGATACTCTACTCCTGCAAGATGTGGTAAAACAGGAGAAAGTTTGAATTAAGTGGAAAAACTTCGGTAGAAATACCATACAAGGTAAGGGGAAGTTTAATTCATTCAATATATGAAATTGAATTGCTGGGTACTCTGTGAATAAGGAATAGGAGTAGATATATGAATTATTTGAATGTCTAATTTTGAAGAATTTCTGATTTTGAAGAATTTTTTATTTTGATGAACTGTTCACCGTTTGAAAGTTTTTGAAATTCTTGAAATTAAGGATGAATTATATAATAAAATTGTTGTTTTTAACTTAAATTGAACATGTTTATGGTTTAATTTTGATTTGGAACTAATTTGGGTAATTGAAACTGAGAAATTTGAAACCTGGATTTTGAAAATAGCGTATTAGAGGTGATTACTATTCATATTTTGCAAAGTTTTAAATATTGATTAAAATCTTGAAATTAAGGATGAATTATATGGTAAAATTGTTGTTTTCAACTTAAATTAGATATAATTCATGTTTAATTTCGATTTGGGACTATTTTGGTTGTCTAAAACTGAGTAATTTGAAATCTGCCAAAATCTGCAAAATTTGACACTGTAAGGAAGAAGAAAGGGATATGGTGGGAATTTTTTAAAAAGATCAAGGGTAAAATAGTCATTTTACATCATAGGGACATAAAGGTAATTTTCGAAAATGTTCAAGGGCAAAATAGTCATTTTACATCCTAGGACATAAATGGAATTTATGAAATTGTTCAAGGGTAAAATAGTCATTTTCAGGACATGGAAGGAATTTTTGAAAATGTCCAAGGGCAAAATAGTCATTTTCGGGACATGGAAGGAATTTTCAAAAATGACCAAGGGTAAAATAGTCATTTAGGGACATACATGGAATTTTAAGAAAAGATTAAGGGCAAAATAGTAATTTAATGATTTCGAAAATGATTTTGAAAATAGTTTCAGAAATAGTTTCGGAAATGATTTTAGAAAAATATATATATAAAGAGAGAGAGAGAGAAAATGAAAGTAGTGTGTTGTGACGTGTGTGGGTCAGACTGAGTCTGAGGGCTGATGCCCAGAATCAATCCTGAGATGTTATATATTGGCTAGACTGAGCCGGAGGGTTGGTGCCAGAATCAGTCAAATCCTATTTTTATTGACCCGAATGAACCGTGAGGACAGGTGGTCCAGAATCTGACAAATGTGAATAATTTTTGTTATGTTTGAATGATATCTGGGGTGGTACAAAGTACATTAGTGTAATAACTATGTCGGAGGATTCTGAATGAGGTCTCAGACTTCATTGATTGGTCGGGTCAGGTAGACTACGAGATCAGGTGGTGAGAAGTCGATGGGAGATGACTGGTGGCGTGCTCGAAGGGGTACTCCAGTATGAGTGATGAAGGGCGCCAGTAATCCTACTCTGTGTGGAGGGTGGTCAGAATGGTACTGCGGGTACCGATCACAATGTGCCCACATATGATAGCCTCTGAGTTCGGGCATAGTTAGGGTATACTTCGGGAAGGTGTCTTAGTGTGTTGATAATTTCGTAATTGATCATAATATATAATTATTACTTCTATATTTGTTTTATTATATCGAATGATTTAATACTTACCCCTATTTTTCCATGTGGATGGGACTGCGATGATCACTTTTATGTAGGAGCATATCAGGAGTTGAGAGATGGAGATGTGACTACTAGACAACACGGATAGTTCAGTGGGATAGCTTCGAGGGAGCTACTTTTATATGTATACTATATAAATAAATTATGTTACTATATTTTGAGTTTCCGTTAGTGAACCGGAATTTTAATCTATGTTACGATTACAGTAATATAATGTAAAATAGATGTCGTTATTTACTTATTTACTACTTTACAAAGACATCATTATAGTAACGATTTATAGAGTCGTTACAATTTGAATTATACTAAATCTTTAAAAGAAATCATTTAAATTTTTTTATTAAGGTATGATGTAATAATTGAATTTTCTTAATTTTTTTAGAAATAATATTTTTTTAATTAAAAAAGGGTATTATTATTTATTTTTATAGTAAAATTTTATTATTATTTATTACAGATTTTTTTTTATGTTTCATTTTAGTTATAAGTTGATATATAATTCTTGACCTTCCTTTGCATTGTAGCAGTTGTGGAGAAGTTGATATATAATTTTCGAAATGAATTTATAAGTCAGTTCGTGTGGAATATAACCTAATTTATTATGCTTCAAAATTAGT